GAGTATAAGTGTACTTAGTAGGTATGTGTCTTCAACACAAATACTGGCAGTTTCAACATCTTTGATTTTTTTTTTTTTTTTTTGAGTAAACCTCTTTGGAAACCATTCTTAATTTAAACCAGTGTTTGCTTCATATAAGTCAATGAGAAAAAAGTTTTTATTAAATGTCAAATTCCTAAAAAGGTGATAAAAAAAAATACCACCAAAACATTCATTCATTCTAAATTTGTTGTCTTTGGCAGAGACTCGTGCCAAACAATTAATAATCTAACAACGATTGTATAACTAGATTTGATTGCATTCAATATTATATAACGTACTTTCCCTTTATTAAAATAACACTCAGATGTAATCATATATAATCGAATAAAATTACATATTTTCATAGATTAAAACTCACACACGATATTTTTAGACCCAGATATCGTATTTGATATCCAAAATTGTGAAGATAAGATTTTTAATTGATATTGTTTTCCAATAAGCAAACACGAAATGTATTTTCATTCATATCGCTTTTGTCATTGTCAACTGTCATTGAAGGTGTTTTTTTTTAATTGAAGTAGATACCAAAAATCAAGGCCATGAATTAAAATATTCGGTTTAAAATTTTGTAAAAATATATATTTTCTTTAAAAGCAAGATACAATATTTATAGTTGTAATCCAATTTATATAAAAGAGTTTTATTAAACGTTATTTTTTTTTGTGTAGAGTCTATTAAAAAAAAAAGTTTTTAGTGTCTTTGTAGCCATCTTTCTGTCACAAAAGTTGTGTCAAATACATTAAAGCCTTCATTAAACTACGGTTCCTAAGTAAACATTCATCTGAGGTTAATATCCTTTATCTGTCACCTTGGTTTTTATTATTTGAATGTATTAAGATTTCTTTATCAAGCCAATTAAAATCGATAATGATTATTAAATTAGATTTTAATTACATACTAGTTTTCCTTATATTCGATATTTTAACTTTTATAATATTCAACGCCGCATAATTCAGGGGTTTTTGTGTTGTTGAATTTAAAAAATTATAAGAAAATAGAAAAATTAAGATATTAATATTAAAAAGGATTTTTTTTTAAATAAAACCTCATAACTGTGTTCTAATTTATTGTGTCTCTTAAATCGGTTTTTAACGAATATTATAAAAATGTACATATATGGTAAAATATTTATTGTCACAGTCTTCCTGTCGATATCCTTAACTAAATTACGTGTTTACGTAAAACACTGAGATCAAGCAACTCTAAACGACCTCCAAATCTATGGAGATTTTATTATTGGATGTGGTTTTTGTTTACTGCATTTTAATCATTTGTGAGAGTTAAAAAAGTTTTCTTTAGTTCGTTTTATATTAGTGTAACTATATTATGATAAAAATAATTAAAAGAAACGATTACACATTACACTTTATTATATTAGATATATGATAAAGAATAATATAACATTATTAAAATCATTATAGATTTCTTTCATTCTTTTTATATAACAAAAATAATATTTACGTTTTAGGAAATGGCAAATGCTTCTTATATGAAAATATTCTTTCAAATCCTACTACTACTCTTCTACCTGGCAATTTCCCGGCTATAGCCAGGGTCTGCCTTACTTGTTGCGAATAGTTTTGGCTAATTGTTTTTTACGACCGGCCGCCTGCCTGACATCAACCCACTTTTGGGAATCAGCATTAATCAGTGATGTATAAATATTCTTAGAAAGTACATATGACTCGGAAAACTCACTTTATTACTGGCCCGGGCCAGGATCGAACCCGCACTTTCGGCAACGAGAGTCGGGCCCTCTAACCATTAGGCCACCACTAACTTTTTAATCCTACTACTACATTCGCGTATAATTAGAAATTAATGTGTTTGTGTTTATTTAGATAAATTGCAATTAAATTAAATTGCAACTCAGCTCTATTTATCAATTATATCCAAACCTATATCAAATTTAATTGGTTACAAACAAACAAACACCATGTATATAATATTACTAGCTTTTGCCGCGACTCCGTCCGCCTGGAATAGTGACTTCCGGCAAATTTTTGGTTCTTCCCACATAGTTCCCGTTCTTGCGGGGTTTTCGGAATGGTCGAGTTCCCATAGAATTTTCAGGATAAAACCTATGTTTTTTTTATTCACAAAGAAGTACTCTTAACCAACAACATATTTATTTGTTTATTTGAATAAAGATTAATATTATTATGTTGATACAACTTAAACAAATTATTTCGACCAAATTAGGTACCATAAAAATGGTTTTTGTGAGTTAATCTTAAAACATAGACATATACTGTCGCGGACTGTTTTTTAGATCCTTAAAAGAGCTATTATTCTTCAAAACATATTTTTTGTGTATCTTGAACCGTTTTCACGGCGCACGCAACGGAAGGCTTCAAAGATGAAATAATTTCTCCCGATTTTTACACATTTACCACTATATCTTTGCTCCTATTGGTCGTAGCGTGATGTTATATAGCCCACAGCCTTCCTCGATAACTGGACTATCCAACACAAAAAGAATTATTCAATTCGAACCAGTAGTTTCGGAGATTAGCGCTTTCAAACAAACAAACAAACTCTTCAGCTTAGAATATTAGTATAGATTTCATATTCGTCATTGTCACATGGCAGTTCCCGTGACACTTGAACAATCAATTAGATAAGTATCGATTGTAATATTAATAATATACATATATACGTAAGATGTGTACGTAAAATATATATACGTAAGAATTACGTATTCCGTAACTTGAATGCTTATCAATATTTTGCACACCCTATATAAGAAAAGTATTCCGTTTCCCATTAACAATCTTCATTAATACTTAATATTATACAAAGATTAATGAAAGAAAAACTGCTTATCTTTCTGTAACAGTTATTATAGCCTATTCATTAAATTCCATTTCGTACTGTTTATGTGAATAATGTGTAAATATCCTTAAGATTTTTTTGTTTATAATATTTTAGTATACAAACATATCGTGCAAGAAATATATGACAATAATTTCCGTTCTTTGTTATGATCGGAAGAAGAATATATTATAGTAACAGATATATGGAATTGGTTCCATTTAATGGTATTTTATATACATTTTAGACTATGGATGAAAATTCATATATAAAATAATTCATATATCGTAAGTTGTAACAAAGAAATATATCTTGATAATCTATCTTCTTCTTCTACCTGGCAATTTCCCAGCTATAGCCAGGGTCTGCCTTACATGTTATGAATAGTTTTTCGCTATTTGTTTTTACGACCGGCCGCCTGCCTGACATCAACCCTCTTTTGGGAATCAACATTGATAATCTATATATTATGTAAAATTAAAATGATATGAACATTCATTGAGGAAACGAAACAATATTATAATTATTGTTATTCTATATTAATAATAATCGGTCAGGGTCAGAATTGAATGAATATTCTGTTTGCGATACTGCGTTATTCGCACGAGTTTCTGAACCTTAACTTTCGTAGATATGATAATTAGATTTAAGAAAGATTTTATTTTCCTATAGTAATCTTAATCCAGGTCAAAGAGTATTTATTAATAGATTTTCCTTAATCAAAATCCATTGTTTCAAAACGATTCTTTGTCATATAATGATTACTATTTCATGTTTTGTTTGCGACATCATTTTCGTATTTGGACAGCTTGCACGAATGGCAGTTGTCAATTGGCAGGCGAAGGTCCATGCACATACTGACTTGTTAATGAACTAAAGAGGTTATATATATTTTAATCTTTTAATATGTATACAATTGAATTGCTTTGTTTTATTTTATTGAGTGCACGGCCTCGGTCTCATTGAGATTTTTTTAATCATACTTTACTTTAAATCGCGAAATATTTGCTAATTTCTTATATCTAAGTTAATATGATTTTCTAATACACATAATAATGAACAAACGTTCACTCTTCGTCAGTAATGTAGACAATGACAATGACTATTGTACAAATATATATTTATATAGAATCGTATATAAAACAAAAGTTCTTTACGTGATATTGAAGTAAACATAATTATTTAATAAACATTTTTGTATGTAAATATAATTATGATCTTTTATTTTTTAATGGAATATAAAAACTTTTGACACATGTATTAATAATTAATTTTATATATTAAATAACAAAAATAGCATAATATGGATTGTACCTATATCTTTAAAAAATATATTTAATTAATAAATATCTATATTATTATCAAATGAGGAAAAACGTATTGTTATATATTATATTAAATAAATACAAGGCTGTATTTATATTCCTCATTGATATAAATGTGCAATTAAACGTATATTGCAAATGTATTCTACTCACGATAACGCATACTATTGTTTACGCTTATGATACTTAGTGTATTCTATTTAAAGAATTACAATTAAGTAGTATAGAAAGGTTATTCCATGTATATAATTAAACAAAAACAATATCAAATCTTTTATTCCTAGCTGAAAACTTTATTTAGGAAAATAATTCGATATAAAAAATAATTACAACCATGAACAAATAATATAAAAAAGGTTAATTATGACAGCACAGACAAAACAGAACTAATGAGTTTGTTATTATATGAATTTGTTTAATGTTTTCTGATTATCTAAACATCTCTTTGTCACAGTTTATTGTGATGTTTTTGATTGTTCTCTGATAAAAATATCGCGTAAACAAACATCGGTATACTCTTTGTATGATTAATATTTACGCGGTTAATTTTTTTTTTAATGAATATGAAAATATAGTCTGTGTACCGATAAAAACCGTGTCACGCTTGACTCGCCGAAAATTATTACGTCAGCGACGAAACGGCATCGGTAAAGAACGTTCGTCTTTGAATAGTTGATTGCGTTTAAGATGTATTTATTTGTGATATGTGATGTAAGAATCTTATGTAAATTGTCTAGTCATGTACTTGTTTAAAATACTCCAAAACAAAATCGTACTTCATATTATTAACATTTATATTAATTATCTTTCTTGCAGGTCCGTTGAAGACTACAATTCACAAGGGACGTTCATGTTTAAGCTAACAAAGGAATCGAAATTACGGAGACATATCAGATCTATGTCTGATGTACAAAGCAGTACGCCTTACAGGATACCGTTCAGATCAAGAAAAGGACTCACACACACACTCACGTACGATTCCGATACACACACAAAGATGAACTCCCGAAGATATCAAGAATCATCAGATTCCAGCGACGGCTGTGATTCAAAAACTTACATACAAAGAAACATTCTCAAACACACTGAAAGAATACTATAAAACGAGGCTGAATCTAGTTCGGTGTTGTATTAATTGATCTAGTTATATGATCCCAACGTGATGTTATGAACGACTGTGATTGAGTTTAGTTTTAACTTATTTATAACGAACAGATCTATTTTTTAAGTAATTACTAATTATCATTGCATATAATGCTGTCTGCGACGCGTCTTGGCGGCGCGCCTTTTTTCACTTTGACGTTTACCTTTGATAGGGTAAATAGGTTATAGTAGGAAGTGACAGATTATAGATAGTTTAGAAATAATTGACATTACACGAATATAATGTGCGAATTAGGCATGTATGAAAGTCATAATAAAAAAATTAGTGTACCTAATATGTAGAATATAAAATATCACGTTTATTTTAGTAACGTGATTTATTTTGTCACTTTTCTAAAAGAACGCGGCTTAGTGTTACACGTTGTATGAAATGTATAGATTAATACATTTTTATATCTAAGTTGTTAGTGTCGCTTAGTATTTTTTAAAACGTCCAACGAGCACAATTATAAATAAAAATGTAGGTATATGCAACCTGTTTTTGTAAGTCTGAATAAAAAATATGTACAAAATTATGAAAGCATTTTATTTTTAACCTAGCTAAAAATATTCTGACGTCCGTGTATAAATAAAATATGTATTATCGCTCACACATTCCTAAACGATAATGTTTCTTTTTTCTTTATAAATTTTATATGGTTTTTGTTGAATTGTCTCAAATATTGAAGATCACATCAAGAAGTAAACTATTCGTAAGAAATAAAAACTTAACACGGAATATCTTGGAAAATATTCCGAGCGTTTTTATGTATATTTCTTTTTCTTATTCAATATTTATTTGTGTTTTAACGTTGTTGCAAGCCAGTCATCATAACAGTCAATTCATTATATGCATCGTGACGATAATGATTTTTAACCAAGTAATGTACCATAAAATCTAATTCATGTTTATTACTTAATGAATGAATAAAATAAGGAATTAATGCAATTCATATCAATCACACAACACTTCTTGATTGATAAATTAAGATTTGCAGTACATAAATAACAAAGCTTAGAAGCATCTTCGAACAAGAGAAAAAACCAATATAACATTTACAATTTATCGTTAGGTATCTAGTTTAGAAATAATAAGAGATTCTATTTAAAGTCGAGGAATTACGTCAAAAATCAAATTACATAACGCACGAAAATGCGATCATTTGACCTTTAAATAACAATGACTTGCATATACAATAACGTAATTTACTTGTTTTTTACCGCTTTTGTATTCATTGCGTCCCTATTTTTAATGAACTTAAACACTATTTGATATTTATATGTATATTTACCGACTGACCAGTGTAATGTATGATAGTTTTTTTACATTTACAACATCAATTTATGTAGTGCGCCATCTGTTGTTAAACATTAGAACCAAAGGATTCGAAATAGTTGTAAAAGCCTCTATTAGTTTAGTAGACTCTCGCTAGAGGGCGATTAGAAGCAGTTCATTGACAATTTAAAATGTTCTAGTATTGAGGCAATAAGTTTAAATGTTGTCATTCGCTCGTCTTCTCTCGCTTGTTTTGTAAATAAAAAACATTATACACCGGTGATTCTATAGTGGCAGTGCGATATTAAATTCTTATTAAAGAGTCATGAAAGTATTATAATTTTCTGGATAACAATTTCTCTTGTGAGGGAAAGTGACAGTTATAGGTGAAATTGTATAATTAAATTAATAAGCAAGCCAGTGGTATTTACAATTTACATGAAATTAGTTATTTAGTAGTCCAAAATGAAATATTTCCTTGCATTATTGTTCGTATTAAAAAATGTTCTTGCTGATCCGACACCTATAGTATTATGGCATGGAATGGGTAAGTTAAAAAAAAATATAAAAGTTAAATCGATAATATAAAAAATAATAATAAAAAATATTTATTTTAAGGTGACACCTGCTGTATGTCATTTAGCCTTGGTGGATTTAAAACTTTCCTAGAAGGGCAAATACCAGGAGTTTATGTTTTGTCTTTAAGGATTGGAAATTCTACTGTTGAAGACTATGAAAATGGTTACTTCATGCACCCAAACCAACAAGTTGAATATGTTTGTGATAAACTCTCAAAGGAGCCAAAGCTACAAAATGGTTTCAATGTTATAGGATTCTCACAAGGAAGTCAATTCTTGTAAGTATTTTTTATTAAAATAAAATTATTATAATCCATAATTAAAACAAATTTAACTATTTCAAAACCTCGTAAATAATGTATATATCAATAACACTATTAATATTAAATTATAAAACCTAGGTTCATTGGCCTCAAGTTCAATCAACCTCATTGTTTGTTAATTTTTGAACTGTACTTAAACATAGCCATAATATAATTTAATATTTTAAAAATTAATATTTGTATATTTTGTCTTAATTTTTCTTTTATATAATGCTTAGTCTTGATTTTTCTTTATTATAATTTTGTGTTAAAAATATTAATAAATTAATAAAACAAAAGTCATACTTAAGGTCATTGCACTAATAATGCTTCTCATAGCATTGTGATGTGACTAATATTTCTACAAAAGGGTATCAAATCTGGATTTGGAATATTTAGTTTAATTTATTTAAAAAAAAATCAAAGTAAATAATTACAATATAAGTATTTAAAAAATAAACTTATTAAGGATGCTTTATCAGTAAATAGGTTTTTTTAAATAAATTTATAACAGATATATTTATAATTAAATTTTATATTATTTTATATCAAACAGCCATTGTATATTCATATGTTATATACTAAAGCTTCATTCATACTGGAATTGCGAATGTATATTTTTTATACTACTAAACAATCTTTTGACATTAAGCAAACTTTCCAATAACTTAATGTTTGTTTTTAACATAACATTTGTGTCAATGAGTACTTCAATCATTACATAATTGGGTGTTTTTCTTGTACAATTTCCAGACGAGCCGTTGTACAGAGATGTGGTCATAATCTTGCCCCTATAAAGAACTTGATAACTTTGGGAGGTCAACACCAAGGTGTTTATGGAATACCTCATTGTTTTGCATTACAGCACGAAACATGTGATTATATAAGAAAACTTCTTAACTTCGCCGCATATTATAGGTGAGTATTTAAATTATATAAATAATTAATGATGTTCTTTACTTATATAGAATATAATTGCACCGGCATTGAATCAGGAATGGTCATTTTTAAAATAATATTTGTGTAATGTATTTGTTTTGATATTTAATTAATGTTCAATATTAGTAAATAAACAAGGACTAACGATATTTTCGATCTTTAATGAGTATAGTTGATAGTTTATTTCATTTGTCCTTCTAATATAGATTATTTGTTTACATTATTCTGATATATAAACTACATGATTGTAAGTTTGTCAGAATAGGTTCAACATTTGTCTAAGACAAAAAAATATAATCCCAACTTTCATGGTCTATGGTTTTTATATATATAAATACATAGACTATTATGATTGTATAGAGCTATCAATAATTCATTTGTAATGTATGTTACATATCAACTCTGATTGCGTTCTTAATAGCTCTTTGTTATTATATAAAGGGAGTCCAAATTAATCTTTATACAACGCGTCATTTTTTTTTCCTCTCTTTCGACACTATAGACTATTCACATGGAGTTACGCGTTCATTAATTTAATAAAGAAATACACAGTTCTAAGGTTTCATGTTTCAAATCATTTGACAAGTTATATAAAGAAAGTTTTGCTGATTTTATATAGTTACGATATTAATTTTATTGAATAACATACATTGGTATGTACATATTTGTATCTATGTGTGCGTGAGCTTGTGCGCTTGTGTGTGTAATTCATAGCCACATTCCCAGTACATTATATTTTGATAATAATATTATATTTTTATATTAGTTTATGTATATATGATCGTTATAGGATCGGGACCTTTCAAGTGACTATTGTATTTTTTTTTTTTTTTTTTTATGTGAAAGGTGGCAAACGAGCAGACGGCCCACTTGATGGAAGGTGGTTACCGTCGCCCATGGACATCCACAACATCGTTGCGGATGCGTTGCCAACCTTGTTTTTTTAGGGATAGGGAGAGGTGGGAATAAGGTAATGGTAGGAAAGGGTGGGAATAGGGAAAGGGCAACCGACTCTCTCACTCATCGGACGAAACGCAGCCACTAAAGGCTACTTCACGCCGATCTTCTGTGAGAGGGTGGTACTTCCCCGGTCGAGCCAGCCCATGTTCGAGCTGTAGTAACTGACTACAGCTAGGCTCTACCACCTATTGTACATGACTGATTGCGTCTTTATAAAAAGGGTTATGTTTTTTGTATGAAACTCACTTTAATATATCTTGGAGTTTTTCATAATTTTTGACATAATTTCATCTTCACTTAGACTGCATTGTCTACTGTTGATTATACATGGTTTATTTAACAAAAATACGTCATTTATTCAATTTTTTTTGTCATGATAAATAACTTTGTTGCTTCTTAAATACTCAACAATAGTGTCGTGGCAGATCGCCAGTGAGGAAAATGTTGTTTGTTAGTCAAATGTTATTTGTTTTTATATGAAAGGTCACAAAGCAAAGGCTATCACATATTATTGCATTCTCGCCGTCAACAAAATCTCTTTGTATATGCGATGAAATTACATAGTTATTCTTTCTTAGAATTCGATGCTTGTATTTTATTATCATTTAATTATACTTATGATCAATTTTATAGTATTTACATTTAGTATGTACAAACTATTCATATTAGTAATGTGTATGAGATATTTGTTCGTTGAGTGTCATTTTAGTGTTTGTCATAACATTTGTAATGTACTTCGGACCTTGTGCCACATATGCCGGACATAGAGCGTCATTAGTACGAGTTTAGGTCGACGATCATACCGACAGTTAGATGGTTTTCAACAATAGATTTTCGTAAAATAATAATTGTTTAATATTTTATTTGTTGTTTTGTACTCGTATTCGGAAACACAGAAATCCCTACTAATATTATAAATGCGAAAGTAACTCTGTCTGTCTGTCTGTTACGCTTTCACGCCTAAACCACTGAACGGATTTTAATGAAATTTAGTACAGACATAGAGTTGACCTTGAGAAAGAACATAGGATAGTTTTTATGCCAGACTTTTGAAAGGTTCTCTTGGAAACGCGATATAACCGAACTTCACGCGGGCGGAAAGATAGTAATGTTATATTTTTATTGAATACTAGTTTTTGCCCGCGACTTCGTCCGCGTTAATTTCGTCATTAGTAATATAGATATAGCTGACCGGGCAAACTCTATTCCGTCTTCAATACCCCGGTATTGGTATTTATTAAATTTCTACTGTTTCAATCGAACAGAATGATTGATATATTAGTTAGTTTTCAAGTCTAATGTCAAAAAATCGTTTGTATGGGTAATAGAAAAGGGCTGTTTTTAGGGTTTTCCCGGCAATTTTTCCATTTTTTCTCACCTTTTAAACCTTCCCTGGACTTCCGGGAGTATTTCAAGACTAAAATTAGCCAAATCGGTTCAGCCGTTCTCGAGTTTTAGCGAGACTAAGGAACAGCAATCCACATATATATATATATATAGAAGATTGCTAAATATTTAATGTAAATATATAAGACTAGTTGTTACATTTAATTCAAACATAACCACATTCATGAATACATTTACGTATGCAACTATGTGAGTAATAATAATGAATTAAATAAATTATGCATTCTAATCATTCATCTTAAGAACTAGACTATAACTACATTTAATCATATAAATACATATAAATCACACTTAATTTTCTATCATGTTTTATAGAACTTGTTAGTTGTTAGATAAATTCCAACAAAAATATTTTTGTTCCAGTTGGGTTCAAGAATCTCTAGTCCAAGCTACATACTGGCACGATCCTTTGGATAATGACAAATATATTAAAAACAGTCAGTTCTTAGCCGATATTAACAACGAGCTGACAATAAATAAGACGTACATAGACAATTTGAATAAGTTAGAACATTTTGTTATGGTTAAGTTCAATAATGATAGCATCGTACAGCCAAGAGAGACGGAGTGGTTCGGCTTCTACGAGGTCGGGCAGGCGAAGAAGTTGGTCACGTTACAGGAGACGGATTTATATAAACAGGTAAGAATAATTCTTTCGGAATTCTCGTCACCTTTTGTATAGCGATACGGAAATATAAGAATATCAGCGAATAGGCACGAACTTTGGCAAAAATTCACGAAAATTGACGAAACCTCCCGAAGTTTAGCGAAGATTCACGAAATTGCCGAACATTGACGAAGATTCACGAATCAGCCGTCGTCAAAACTGATCGTGTGACACCGATGCCAACTCATACTAAACCTACATTATCATCTTTTTTTGAATAATCTCTTCGGTTTCCTCTCAAAAATGATTTCAAAAAATTACAGTATATTCGACGGTCTCAATAAAGACTTAGTTCTTCATGTGTTAAATATATGTATATGTAATTTACTTATAATAGAAGTTTCCTTATTATATTGTACTGTTTTCAGGATCGCTTGGGTTTAAAGAAGATGGATGAAGCAGGTAAATTAGTTTTCCTCTCGCAGCCGGGCGATCACTTGAAGTTCTCACAAGAATGGTTCATAGATAACATTCTCAAACCTTATCTAGTTTGAGATAAGACTGATTGTAATAAGGCTATCTATAAACGACATTAACCAGTTAATATTTAATGTATGTTACAAAAATAAATAATCATATATGAATTTTGTTATGTAGAGTTTTATTTCGTATTAAATGGATCGTTATATCTTCTTCCTGGCAATTTCCCAGATTTAGCCAGGGTCTGCCTTACATGTTGTGAATAGTTTTGGCTAATCGTTTTTACGACCGGCCGCCTGCCTGACATCAACCCTCTTTGGGAATGAATTAATCAGTGATGTCTAAATACTCTTAGAAAGTACATATGACTCGGAAAAATCACATTGGTACTTGGTTAGTAAATTGATCATGTTATAAACATTTACAAATATTTGCAATGCTTTTATTCACTATCTGTTATTTTTTTATCAAAACACAGTTTAATAATGACCATTAAAAGAAACTGATTAAAAACTCCATGTTGATAAACACGTTTTGTAAATAACATGAAATAGTCACAAGTAAATTATCACTTTGTTTATTCACAAACTAGCTTTCGTGTTCGGTTTTGTTCGTTGTATTTTTTTAAATACCATCGTATAAGTACTTCATATAAAGATTGGCTATAATTTATTACTTCTAGTTTTCGAATGACAACTATCCTTTAACATACATTAAAACACCAAATAATCTTCATATTTTCATACATAATTTAACCGTAAATTTTTACTAAATATAAACAAAAGACAGTATAAAAGTTAAATATATGAAACGATCACTCGAATATATTCTCCAAATCTTCTTTCGAGTTAACGTAGCAGGATTCGTTCTGTACGCGAGTGTTCACGTAAACTCTTATACAAGTGTTGTACTCGGAACTGCGTTTTATGAAAGACGCGTTCGCTCCTCTTAACTTGTGTAGAGGATACTTCACTATACAATTGAGAAGAAGACGCTCCGCTATTTTGTAACTGCCAAAAATGTATTACTAAATCAATATTTATTAGTAATTATTTGTAATAATACAAGCTTTATGTATTTAAAGAGAAAACTACTGAAAGAAAATCTGAAATAACTTTTTTCAACTATAAGACGTAACGTGCCATCAAATTTTATAAGTTCGTCAAAAGTTATCCATAATGTGTTAGTCTGTGTGACCTTAGAATGTGTTTGAAAACTAAACACAAATAATATGTCATTTTGAATAATCTTCTATATACATATATAAAAATGGATTGCTGTTCCTTAGTCTCGCTAAAACTCGAGAACGGCTGAACGGATTTATCTTATCTTAGTCTTGAAATGTTCATGGAGGTTCAGGGAAGGTATAAAAGGTGAGAAAAATTGATTCATTTCCGGGAAAACCCTGATAACAGCCCTTTTCTATTTCCCATACAAATGCTTTCTTTGACATTAGATTTGACAACTAACTAATATGTCAATCATTCTGTTCGATTGAAACAGGAAAAACCTGATTATTTATGGCCTCTAGGACGGAATAGAGTTCACCCGGTCAGCTATACATATATTACTAATCATGAAATTAACGCGGACGAAGTCGCGGGCAAAAACTAGTAACTACTAAGAATGCTTCTATATATTACGAGACAATAATGACCGAGTCTTTATTAGCGTGTTTTCTGGATACATTTTAAAAATATAAAACTACAACTATATTTAAACATATCTTGGTCGAACAAATAATATTATAATCAAGAATCTTCAGTTAAAATAACTAAGATAAGGCTTATACGACATGAAAATAAAACTTAAAATTAATTATAGTCAAAATATAACTGAATTTTGTATGGTGACACTTAAAAAGCGACATATTCACATAGACTATATAAGGCATATAAGTTTGAGTCTAAAGAGTCTTAATAGGTGAATCCAATAAGTTAAAATATATAATTACTCGTAAGGATTGATACAGTCCATTCTTATAACGTTATAACCCTGGTCTTGTGCTTGAAACATTGATTTCTCAGCTAGCTTAGTGCCCAGACCCTGCCTTCTGAACTCCGGTAGAACTGTCAACATTTTAATCTAAAAAAAAAATTATATGTAAAATCTGGCGTAGTAATGAATTCTATGTAAAAAAAATAATACCTCAAAAACCTTCGGCTGTTTATAAATATTCCACAGATTAGGCGTCTCTTGTAATTTTGCGATGAAATAGAGAAAATCTTTTGTGTTAGGGTCCTGTTGTGAAATAAGATATTATTTAAAAAGATTTTTATCTTATTATGTTAAATATATATAAAGATATTAAGTAAAATACTCGTATTAAAATAAAATTGATTTTATAACCGAGAAAAACATGGGCACTATCAGAATTCAAACCTTTGACTTCTGCATGCTTAGTCTGAGTTAGTTAGTTAGCCTCGTACTACATACAGATAGTTAACAGTTTTTCATACAAAAACTCTCACACATTTTAGTATTAACGTAGGTTATTGAATGTGAAACGGGAAACGCTACGTACATATGTTGTGACAATGCAAATACGAGCTATATTATGTCGCGTTTAAGATTATATATATTTATTTACTTGTCTATAAAAAGCATAGGTTCTTAAGTTTTGACAATCAACTGGACTCGTCGTGAAGTTAACGCAAATACCAGCTACCCTTCCGTCTTCAGTTTTGGCGAAAATCGTGTTACCTATTGAAATAAAAGTACAATTATATTACCGATAATATCAAAATAGTTTTATTAAATAAACCATTGCTGGCATTATACAAGTTTTTATCTATATGTACATATAAAAAGAGCAATGTAAATCGTTGTTTTTACCCTGTTTCATGAGACTGACGAGGTATTCATTAAGAGCGTTGTCGTTTGATAGATCCATGTTCCGTGTTCGCACCAACACGTGTTCTGTGAGGTAGTGGGTCTTAATGAGGTCTACAGCCATCTCATGATCCTGCTTCTTCACCAGGTGGATAGAAAATATATCCGGCTGGCAAATAAAATACATTACGTTAAAGAGAAAGTATTTTGCTAAAAGTTGAAACTACAATTTCGTTTATAGATATTAAGTTGTGTTTCAGAGTGTTATATTTAAACTGGATATCAAAGCTATGATTTTTGTATGTATAATACTAAATAAAGACGGATAAGAGAATCATAAACGTAGTGGCAACTGCAAGACTTAGTATTTATATGAAAAATAAACAAAAAAAGTAATCGTCAAACCTCATAACAGTTCAGCTATAAAGAAAAATACAAAATCTTGTACATTAAAGTTTTCGTTATATTTAATTGAAACCTTTAGTTATTACCTAAATTTAGGTATTTTAATGCGGGAGGAGAAAATTCACCGGAATCTAAAATCTATACTGTTATGAATTAACTTTTACTGAAAGCAGACTAAAAAACATTTGAAACTGAAAATACAAACAGAAAAAATATTATAGATTAATAATAAAAGAAAATATATTACTACAAAAATGCACCATAAGCAGTAAAGTTTTTACGTTTGATGTTGGGGATACTTGATAAACATTTCGAAGGTTAAAAAATAATTATATACTTTTAAATATAAAGATATTATCGTTTAAATAAATAATACAGAAAAATTTAGGATTAATTTATTGAATGAAAGATAATTAAAATAAGTTACCTGCTCTTGTTGAAGAATATCTTTGATACCAAATAAACTATGACATTTCCTCGATTGCAATTTAAAAGTTTTTAATATATACGGATTTATGAGTTTTCTAGCGGAAAGCATTTTTTTTAATGTTTAAAATAATATTAAATAATTACACGGCTAATTTGACGTTACTGATAGATGTCATGAAATTTTGTAGTTGTTTTAAAAAATCATAGTTTGACATTGGCAAAAATCATAGTTTGACATTGGCAAAAAAAATCATGATTCTTTAACAAGCTTGGATAAGAAAAGAAACTATTTTGTTTACTTAAAATTCTCTATCGTATTTTAATTTAAACGTTTATGGATTGAGGTCCAGCTAATGTTTTCACAGTATTATCTCCGGTTTTAAAAGGACTAAATTTCCGGCTGTCAGTAAAAAAGTTTTCTGTATAAAAGCGTCTGAAATTATTAACATATATAAAGCTAATGCACTCCTTTATGAAAATATATATAATCGGTTAGGATAGGATAAAAATGGTATATATGTATGTATGTACAAATATATGTATGTATATTTGTAACGATCAATAAAAGACAATAAATTTGATCAAGCAGTGGTTATATTTAAAATTTGTCTTATTTTTTTGTCCTGATTGTTATCCTACACTGACTGATAACACCTTAGTAGGTATTTATCGATTTATAATAATGAAAAACATAATGTTCAGTCTTTTTGCATATTACTCTATATTTAGGTCCGTTTATTAAATTTTAAAATCTTCATTCTTAACAGACATTCAGACAGATACGAACAAATTCTCTAATGTCTATATATCTTTGATAATTGTGATCTATATATATCTATAACTATTAGTTCAAGTACAACTATTTTGACTTTCCCATAATCATTGATAAACTCTCTTCGTCTCATATTTTTCACACGGCAGTACAATTTTATGTAAGTAGAAGTACGATCATGAACCAAGCTTACTTTTCATTTGTAGTTTACCTGAAGTTTTTTCAATTTGACTATTAATATCTTAAGCTTAATTTATGAAAAAATATTCTCAAAGAACTCATTATTTACCTGTCACAAATAAACCAAGTGTACAACACTAAGTAAATGCATATTAATTAATGTTTTTTTCCGTTTAAAATTTTTTTAGCGTCCATATGAGAAATCTTATCGATAGATTTAACTATTATAGCATCTTAATGGACTAACAGTTACATGAAAACGAATTAAAAACATGATAAGAGTGTGAAAATTAAATTAAATTAAAAATGAGTAATTGAATCCAATACCATGTTGTTTACTTTTGTTTTGAATTTAGGTAAGTTTTTAGCTTAAAATACGTAAACAATAAAATACTTATTTACATTTAAATATTTCTCAGGAATACTTTTCGTAATACAAGACACATTCGGGATAAATTTCATAGATTGGGATACAAGTAATGATAGGGATGAAAATCATGATAATTATGATATAAATAGCGATGACGTAAGAACGACTAGAGAGGGACGGAGATATTGGCTGGTCTCTTCAGACCTGAATCTGAATGAACCACAAAAGCAAGCTGACGAAGAAGAAAAGGACGAAAGACTTAAAAGCAAAATAACAACTCTTGTCGAACAGACGTTACACGATACTCAAACTAAGATAGATTCAATCCAGCATTTGAAGGAACAGCACAGAAACGAAGCTCCATACAAAACAGGATTCATTTTAAGCATGATAAAGAAATCTAAGGACGTTTTAAACGAGCTGTTCAATGTGGCTGTTAAACATAGGGAGGATTGGAAGGCTCTGGAACAAATGAAAGTCTTCGAGTTAATTGTACACACAAACGTCGATACCACGAATCTCGTGAGGCAGCTAGTGGAGATACACATCCAACACATGAACGCTACCATCCGTAACGATAATAAAAGGAGAGTTGTTTTAATATAATATATATTGATAATCCAATATATTCACAATTTTTTGTATCTAAATAATAAGGTCGAATTTATAAAAGAAACTAGCTTTCCATCCGCAGCTTCGCCCGCGTGTAGTTCGGTTATATCGCGCTTCCAAGAGAACCTTTCAAAATCTGGCATAAAAAACTATCCTATGTTCTTTCTCAAGATCACCTCTATTTTTGTACCAAATTTCATTAAAATCAGTTCAGTGGTTTAGGCGTGAAAGCGTAACAGACAGACAGAGTTACTTTCGCATTTATAATATTAGTAGGGATATACTAAAAGATAGGTGATCTAAGAGAAAGTAATTCGTTTTGCTAAATACAAATAATAATATAGTATAACGCAATTCTTGTTTCATTGTATTAAAAACAAATAAAGTAAGAAATTTAGTGACGATTTTTATTGATAGATAGCATTGTTAAACTAAAATCATCAGCATGTTTTAAAATTCACAACAAAATATCAAATATATCAATAGGTTCTTAAGTATTTTTCAAACGTTTAGTTAAATCAGACCAATAATAAGTATGTAAAGATATATTCGTGCTTCGTTAAGTTTCTTACATAATATATTAATGCCTATGTGTGACAATACATAACAATTAAACCAGATTGTTTTTATAATTTTAATCAAAACATTTTTTTATAATATATACTCATAAAATAAAGAGCAAAATATTAATCAGTATGACACGGTGACGTTTAAATCTGTACTATAATTCAAATTATCATTAAAATTGAAAACCTTGAATAAATAAAAAGTTAACATTGGCATAATATCTTCGATTCCAGTGCAAATGAAACCATAGTTAAAAAAAATTAAAAATTTAAAAATATTTAGAGTACCTACCTACGAGTACTTGTATTTGTTAATTGTTTCCTAATCAAATCTTTATCATATTTGTACTTTCGAAAGTTTTTAGACATAAATTATTAAGCGAGACAAGTGTCGAAAATTAGGATATCAATCCAGTAAGTAAGATTTGTCTGAATTAATAAACCGTTCATGATATAAAATAATAACTCAATATCATCAACCTATTAACCTTTTGGAACTTTTACGAGAGGACGTCACTGTTTTTTCCAAGAATCAGAAAATATGTCATTACTTTGTCATTATTACAACACTATCCCGCAGCAATCTATACATGACATAAAAACAAAGGCCTGAACCACAAAAGAGATTCTACCAAGACATAGACGTGTCATACCTTTAAAGTACGACCTTAAATAACGAGAAGTCGCATCTCATCTTGGCGGTAATTATTTCTCGTTTCCAGGTACGCTGATGAGGTTGCATATGCATTAGTTGATGACGTCACCTGTGCTTACACTTTACGTTATCTGTGGCAAATGTTAAGCCAAAACTGACGTATAAATTATGATCTGTCACTTGTCAGTGCTTTTTGACAGATGATTAGTTAATAAAAATTAAAATAAGTTTCTTATAAAGTAAGCCAATAAAATTATAACCATTATAACCTATAGAAGAATACATTTATATTATATTATGCATTGTTTCTGTATAGTACAAATAATACTTTAAACTTCAACAGTAGATACGATAGCGAATAACTATAGCAAAAAAAAAATTCATGTATTGAATACACAGAATTTATGTGCCGTATAACTCTTCCCCAATTTGCACAAAAACCGACCATCTAAAGCATTCTGTGCATTCTATAAAACAAAAGAGCATCACAATGCTGAAATGGAAACTTTTTTTGGCTCAACAACAATGGAGTCTAGGTGAACGTGCTGCGGATGTGTTGTGGTCGCGGGGCTCTAAATTATTAATCTATATAAAACGTTAGAGCTCTGTGCTTGACTGGTTGTTTTCGCGCCACTACCGAACTATAGGACAGATAATAAATGGATCCTTAGTATAATACTTTAGTGACTTTACCGTGTAAAACAAGAATAAGTCGCCCATCTTAATTAAATACATAATTATAAACTTAAGAAGGTTTAAGAAATCATGATTATAACCCTTCAGTTTAGTGTGCTTTCTAACACTGACGGAAATTAAACTTATGTGGTAAACAACGCGAACGAAGCCGAAGTGGCAGCTAGTTAAAATACTTGACAGTTACAAATATAATATGTACCTATTTAATAAGTAAACTCTTAAAAGTAAGAAAATGTTAAAACATTATGCTTGTTTCTTAGTCTGGCTCAAATTATATTCTAAATTCAAATTCGCTTCCAAGATAAATTGTAATTATTCATTCCGTAAATTATATAAAAAAATAAAGAGGTGTACTTCTTTATTATTAAAACTTTATTGTAAGAAATATAAAAGGATATTTTAATACTTTTATATATAAGAAATAAACCTTAAAGTTTGGTACATGTTTTTAATCTATTTATAAGATATAGATGTCAAATGAGCTTTGACGTATTCCTGCCAATAATATTGTTACTAAAATATAATCATAAAATATAAGTTATTATTAATAAACAATTTTGAACAGTAATTGTAGTTTTAAAGTTTCCTTTTATCTTCAACCAATCATATATCATAATAATAAGACTAGGAACGAAAACTTCGTATCCCTTTTCTAGAAAGTTAGGGGAAGGGATGGACGTAAAATTAACACAGTCAAAGTTTATATAGGGTAGAAGTGCATTGATATTTATTCATATATAAATATATTAGAAGAAAAAAATAGTTAAAACACACAATACTTCTACTACATTGATTTTGATTAAAAACTAATAAGATATCATAATTATTTAATGCATTCGCACTGAAATCGGCGAATATTTTGTAAATGTCAACGTTTTTATTTGTTGGAAGAATAATATATTCATCAATTCTTAATGATTCCTTTGTATATGTTTTAAGTTTACTTAAAATAATCAAAAAATTTGGTGATATATCAACAAGTCAAAATGTCTTAGTAATATTTTTTAAGGTTAAAAAAAACAGCTTAAAAATTGTAAAAGGTGGACAGCATGATAGTTTTATAGAAAACCAATTAAGAATACTTTTATGCCATCTCACTTAACCAATCAAATGTAACAAATAAAGATATTTTAACGAATAGTAAGTTAATAATTTTTTTATTACTATTTTTTCAACCATTTACATTCTTATTAAATCAAGTTGTCATTAATTTAAAATATGTTTTTCATTAACATCAACATCAATAGCTTATCGTAATAAATAAATGTATTCCAATAAAATTATTATAATAAAATGTAGATATTTCATTTATTTTCTAAATAAAACTCCATATATCAATTCCATATAAATATTTCGTGTATTCTGCTGACTGAACAACGTCCAACTTTCGCTGGACGTTCGCCCAAATATTCTATACCGCGACCAATACATCTTGATACTGGATACATTAAATAGTTATGATTTAAAATATTCACAGTAAATTAATATCTCACCAAAATCATGCCTGTTAAAAAGGGGGCCAAGTTCCAATCGGCTAATTGTTTGCCTAAAAAAGGGTTGAAATCCAATCTAATGCCAAGTTTAGATGCACTTTGAAATCGATCATAATCATCTTCATCAACAGCACGATCCACTGGTAAACATTTGCCATTCCCAAGACTCGCCACCACACCCAGTCCTCTGCCTTCCACATCCAGCCACTACCCGCCACCTTATTCACGTCAACGGTCCATCTGACCGAAATTCACTTTACCATACACCCAACTTAAAATATGGTATAGTTGTGAAAATACGTAGGTGCTTGGTTAAAAATATCTAAAATTATAATACTTCTCAATTTGAACTTGGCTGGTTTTCGTGCTGTACGTAACACTTAATTAATTGTATCATTAATTTATTATTTATATAATTAAATTAACCTTAATATATATATATATATATATATATATATATATATATACATATATATACATATATATATATCAGTTCTTAAAAAGCGCCCCACGATTTTTTTTTCAATAATACCATTTATTGTTTATTTTAAACAATTTAAATTAAATTGATTTCCAAGGTTGTAAAGGTTAAATTAGTTTCCACGCGGTTTCTTTCATCATTGGAGCGTGTTTTTTAGTTTTTTTTAAACTATATTTATTTTTTATTTTTTAGTTTCATTTATCACCGATTGATAGATGTACTCATATTATTAATTATTAATATTTCATTATTATGTATTTTATTGCGCTGAGCTGAGCGCCTATATATATACATATATGAACTTAGAACATATCTGCTACTGTAAGCCTCCAACAGTAAAAATTATTCAGCCACTATGTATACAAACTACTTATGGGGTTTCGGAACGGTATGTTTATTGCACAGAATAAACTTAGTTATATATATCTATTGTTCTAAATCCAGCAAAATATTGTTGAATATTTACAATTTACGTTAAATCATTTATGATTTTTGTTATATGTTTTCCAGTTCCAGAGAATTAGTTAACAAAAAAATATATATTTATCAGTGCATATGTTTTAAAAATAGTAAAAATAATTCGAAGCACGTAACTTAAATTCAGCGTAATAAAATATTTATATTCAATATTACGGTTGATAATATAACGGCATTTTTAAAAATACCGATTTATTTGAAATATTCAATATATCTTGAACTTGTTTGTTTTACATCGAATGACGTAATAACCAATGACATTGAAAGTGACGTCTGTCAAGCTTGTCAAGTTTGTCACAGATAAAAATAAATTGTAATCGAAACGATCAAAAACCACAAGTCCAACATCAGTTGGTGTGTCCAGCCCGCGACTTGGGCAGTTTCTTTCATTCGTAGCAGAATTCACAACTAATTGTGGCATTAAACAATAGAACCTCTTAGCAATGCAAGTAACGCGCTGCCATTGTGCATTTATATACAAACGTTTCGCATTTCACATTCAAAGAATAAAAATTTTGCGAGAAATTGTTTGGAACTCTTTTGAAAACGGACAGGTAATGATGAGAGTTCTAATGGAAATATATATATATATAGTGTTTTATATTGAGTAAACAATGTTTTGTTAG